GAATATCCACTCTGAAAATAAGGATCCTGGGAATAGTGATACTGTCCCGGAGCATAAGGAGCAGCATCACCCTGATAGTGATAAGCACCACCACGACCACCCTGGCCATAATTGCCTGAATTAAAGTTCTGTTGAGTCGGTGCTGGTGTTGGCCTAACAAGCTGCTGGGGCCTCTGCTGATTCTGGGGACAATTCATAGCTCTATGTCCTGTCTGACCACATGTAAAGCATGCACCACTGATTCTCCTACATTCCCCATAATGTCGGAAATTACAATGGCGACATAACGGAGAACCCGAACTACCAGTACCACCAAAACCTCTCTGACCAGAAAATCTAAGTCCATTACCAAACCTACCACCTCCTCTCCTCGGACCTGTGGCACTAAATCCACCACTGGAAGAACTGGAACTCATTCCACTTTTCTTGAAATTCTACGTCTGACGAGGTCCTGGAATGGAAACACCTTTACCTTTCTCATTTTTCTTCTGACCATTACCCTTATCCTCTTCATCCTCACTGTCCGGAAGATTATCAGAGTCTTCCATCCGGACCAGAATCTCAAAATACTCATGATAATCGGCACAGGGAAGTGCATTGGCAAACGTTCTGTACTTCTTCTTAGATCCTAGCTTGAAACGACGAAGCATTTCTGCTTGATTACCCGCTAAATCAGATCATAACGGGATAAATCAGTAAACTTCCTGTAGTACTCATGTGCGGACATATTTCTCTGCTTCAGACTGGTGAATTCCTGTTTCTTGCGATCTATATATTCCGGAGGAACAAATCTCTTCATAAAATTTTCCTTAAATACCTCTCATTCGGCTGTCCTTTCAGGTGCCATGTGCCTCGACTGATTTATCCACCACGCCGCTGGCTCACGGCCCAAAAACCAGGTGGTGGTCTCCACCCATCTATTAGCTGGCAGGTTTCCCTGACTTTGCATCACTTGAAAGGTCTGCTCAATTCGATCCAACCACTTTTCTGCCCCTTCATAACCTTCATTTCCCTCAAAAGTTTCCAGTTTCAGATTATACATCGTCTCTACGGGCGTTCTCTGAGGAGGACGGATATTAGCCTGAAAAGCTTGAGCCATTGCTGCCCCTAGCTGAGTTATATCGGGGAAATTAGGCTCAGCAGCACGGCGAGGATCTCTACGAGGCGGCATAATTCTGACAGAAAACATCCAAAAATTAATAAGTAAAATCACTAGTTATACAGGACTGCAACCTATGCTCTGATACCAAACTGACACACCCTAACCCGAAGACTAGGACATGCTGGCCGTCACGTGAGCGTGACGTAACCATAACGCAAGCGGAAACGATTTAATAAAAAAAATACGAGTCAACGAAAACCACTAATTGCAGTTATTTACAACCTAGCATTCTATGTGCATAAGAGTGTACTAAACACACATAAACAGAGCATAAGCGTCTAGGTGCAGTCAAGTAGGACCATAACTATTTTACAACACCCTCGGGTGAATCCTACATTTATTTAGTCTGTCAGAACGCCGAAGCAGTCCTCGTAGGCCACCAACGCCTCAACTATCAACTATAACCTGGAGGGGCGAAAAACAGAAAACGTGAGTGGGCGAAAATAAAGCTTTTCCAAAACATTTCATAAATCCACATTTATAACCCCTTTTTGGAAAACCTGTATACTTTCCCATAAAAATAGTATATAGCATATATATCTCAACTGTCTCGATCAACAATCTTATAACAGATTCAATAAAGAATGTAACATGCCAAATTCAGCAGTTTAGTATGAATGCATTGACATAATATAAATCAGGTAAAAGAAATAATCAATCGGAGGCCCTCTAATAGCCCTGAACGATTGAACCTAGAGCTCAACATCTATCAATCTCACTCTCTGCCGGAGTCACTCCGCGTGACCTGTCCGGCCTTCTGCACATAAGTCGGAACCACCTAATGCAGTCTGAACGACTCATGGTAATATTCGCTCTAGTGCTTCTCTCATCAATCATCTGTATACAATAACCTAAGGTCACCCACCAGTCATAATCTCACTAACACTCTACGACTGGCCCGTCGTACCCACTCCGCGTGGACTGTACGACCAGCATCTACTTGGATCCAAGGCGAGCGTGCGATGCGGTGAATACTATAAGCACTAAACCATGGTGCAGGATATGAGCTCAATATATCATCATCCTCAACATAACAGTAATTAAATACTTACCTGTGCGTCCACAGCACCATCACACATATATGCATCATACGACAGTTCATAATATCCATAACATTCTATGCATGGCAATCACATCATATTTCATTTCATTTCAGTATATTTTTCATTTAAATTTGATTTCTGGGGAAATCGAGTATATAGGTATATATATATAGAAAGCAATGCCCACTCACTGGTATGTCGCCGGGTCGTAACCCCCTTGACGCCCCTGGATGTGCTCGTCCTCGTTAAAAGTTCCACCTAGAAGTGAAATAACTTAAAACAATCATTTAACGCACATTTAACGCACCTAAACCAACTAGGTAATAAATTCCATATGTTGCTCAAATTGGGTATATAAATATACCACCATGACCTACACAACCTCAGGATCATCCCCATATTTTTAAAAAAAATTTTGAATGCTCCACGCGCCTCCACGCGCCAAATAGGGCACGGGTCTACGCGCCCCCCACGCGCAGCCACGTGCCGTGCACACTGACGGTACAGTGAACGGCGTTAGGGAATATTCTCGGAATATTCCGTTAAATACCCAACGGTAACGGTAACGGCGTTGGAATATTCCGTCAGTTTTGACGGAATATTCCCTGTCTTCTCCGGCGAGTCACCGGCCGCCGGCGACTGTTCGCCGGTTTCTGGAAAAATTTCAAATCCACTTTTCTCCTTCGTTTTTCGTCCATTTTTCATGTATTTTACACCAAAATGAAGCATTTCACATGTACAATCACGATGGAAGGGTTTTAAGGTCTAAAAACTACGAGATCATACCTTCCAAAATTCCTCAATTTCGGCCAAACTCGAACCCGACGATCTCGACGTCCATTTTGTTCAAACGAGGCACTCCGAGCCTCCTTGGAACTTTCTAAGACTCGTGGTGATCTCAGATTAGCCTAAAACACAACGAAATTTAAGTTCGTGAACAGTGTCAATTCACGGGGTGTTTTGAAACTAGGATTTCAGAAATGAAACTTACCTGAAACTTATACCCCCGTGCTCGTGAAGTTCCCAAGATCACGAAGATGATCTTAGATTGGACGTTGGTGCACGTTTGTGGTTGTTCTTGGTGTTTGTCCGAGAGCTTGAGAGAGTTCGAGAGTAAGAGAGAGAGTGTTTCTGAGGGAGAGATGAGGAAGAAAGAGGGAGAGAGACAACCTACGGGTTTTGGGGAAGGATTTCAGGAGGTGGGGATCCCACCTAAGTCCAATACAAAATTATTAGACCAAACAAATGTAAATCTAAACCCTAGTTTAAGTCCCTAACATAAAATAATATTCTAAATAACAATAGTTTAGGATCTTTAGGTAAAACAAATGTCAAACATTTACACACCTTAATCCCGTTTAAGGTCACATTGGTCATTTCACGTCCTCGGAATTAAAATTCTGGGACGGGCTGTGACAGAAACTCTCCTGGTTTTTTTATCTGCGGATACAAAACATATATTTCATCTGCGGATACAAAACATATATTTCAAAATCAAAGTAAGTGATACATCCAAAATTGTTTTTCCAAAATATAAATATTAGAATCACATAAGCTAAGTTTTTACCTTTCTCATATCCTTCTCCCTCGCATCGCTTAGTTGTAGGAGCATCAGAATCGATCATCTCACTAAAATTAAAACAAGAGGGGTTTGGGATGAAGAAAACGGGAGGAAATTTAGGGTTGTGGGAAAACAATGTGAGAAAAAGTGAAAGTGAAACTATGATTATAAAGAACCCGCCGGATTTTGCGCGACGAAACTTTGGTCCCCCAAACCTTGCGCGACGATCAATCCATTCTGTAAAGTACGTAATAAATACGACAATTCAATGTGCACCGACCATTCAGTGGTCCTTTTACGCGACAAATATTTTGTCACGCAAGTTGTTGGCGCCCAAAAAACCTCTCAACCGCCTTTTTCCTTCCCCTTTGTGAGACGCAAGGCTTTGTGCGTTGCGCGACGAATTACTTCGTCGCACTAAGTTTTAATTAACCATTTCCACTATGGATTCCTAGTTTCGTCACACAAAAGACTCATTAAGCAACGAAATTGTCGTCATCGCATAACATTTCGTCACGTAAGCTGTTTTTTCTACTACTATATACTCGTGCATAAAGAATAAATGAGCTTTGACTTAGTTAGGTTCGCTAGAGCTATCGGTGTGCTCTAACTCGACCATCACATGAATAAAAAAAATGAAGCGAACAAAGCTCATATCAGAACCAACATGCTAATTGGTATTTATTGAGAGAAAATAATTTCAGTACTGAATTACAAGACACTTAAATAATTGTTTAGCTACCATTTCCTCATGGCTTTATGATAGCTTTTTAATTTTACATAAACAAATAAATAACTGAACGAAATTCAATAGTGTATAGTCGTATATGTATTGAAGTGTATATACGGTCAGTGTTGTATTTTGTCATTGAATATATGTAAGATCAGTTGGATGCTGCGTCCTTTCCATTTGGTGATGATTGGGAAGATTGAAGAAAGATTGAAGAAAATGAAGAGGAAATTTCAGGAAGAACAGAGAGAAAGAGAGCTCGAGAATGTGAGAGAGAAAGCTTGTTATTTCTTTATTTCTTAATGATCAAGTAATCTTTTACAGTAGTGATATATGTAGTAAACAGACTTAACAGACTTACTAATTTTGTAATGAAAAGCTAACCACTTGGATAAGATTGTAACAACCTTATAACTACCTATAACAACCTGTCTTATCGATCGACAAGTGGCAACATTTAGGCCTTCGATTTATTCTTCACTTGGATCCTTATCTTTGTCATTCTTACAATGATGATTTCAGTTTATGAACTTTGCTCCTTTTACCCCTCTCCCTTGACAGAACCCCGGCTACCCTGCACATGGAAATCAATTTTTGAAACATGAAATAGTCAGTGAAATTTATACACATAAAGTGCTACAAACTTATATTAATTGTAGATTTGGTGATGTATGTATGCAATATTGAAATACCTTATGAGTGCCTCTTGATTTGTAATTTCAGGATGAACAGGCTTTGCTTTTCCAGTATCTAAGTCCACTCTTGAAACTGGTTTCGTTAACAATTTCTCCCCAACTTTTACGAGATCATTCAAGTTTTCTGAAGTAGCAATATCCACAGAAGCCAGAGTTCCACTCAGTGTGTCATCCTGCATGCATTCATTTTTCACTTTCACGCATTAATATTTCTACATATCTTATTAGCTAGGTTAATTCGCCATGCGAAAATGATCATTTGATCTAATAATATTTCTCTTCACTTTATTAAACCAAAATGTTAATGGTTCGTAAAAAGATTGTGCTCGTGTGCGCGCGCGCGCACACACACATATATATATATATGTACCTGAATTCGAAGATAATTGTCGGGAGACCCAAGTGCTTGGAAAACGGTAGCAAGGTGGAAATCAACCATGTCACTACTTGCTTGACTGAATATATCTACCAGAGGAGCTGAAAAATCAGATCCAATCAACCATCCCAAAGCACCCCACTCAGATGCTTCTTTGGCATCGTACTTCTCCTCAGATGTTGTACCGGTACCCAGTGATATAACTAGGAACCGCTCATACAACTTGTCATTTGCGCCCAAAGGAACAAAGTCAGGGTTGCCCTGGATTTGTTTTGTCACTTCGCTCATAGCAACCAAAGCCTAAAACATATGAACAAAAAAAAAACTAAGACACTCAAATTAACGAACGCAAAAATATAGTACATGTATTCATAGTGAAAATTAACTTTTCAAATCAATACCGGGTTATTAGCAGCCACACCACCATCAGTGAGATTGAATTCTCTTGTTTCACCAGATGAATTAGTCGATTTAAATTGATATGCTGGAAGGTAGTACGGGGCTGCTGAAGTTCCGATACATATATCCGATAGCAAAGCATCTAGGCTATTGTTCTTTTTCAACTAAAATCATGATAGAAATACATACACAAAATCAAGAACCACTGCAAAAAGCAGATCAGAATATATTGTTGAGAGTATAACTCCCACATCAGACAAATGAGGGACATTGCATGTGCTTATAAGTAATTGGGCTACTCCTTATATTGCGAATTGGGTTTATGTGTAGAATTATCAGAGAGACGGGCCAAAGTCTCACTTCCAACAACACCGATATTATCCCCAACTTAGTAATTACCACCTGCACAGAACTACAACAGTGGGATTTTATCACAAAAAGCCTCCGTATCAGTTGGAGGTTCAACATTATGGTGGGACCCCAACATTCTTAATATAAGAACATAAACATGAAATTTTGGCTGAATTATTGATCAGTTTGATTTTTGAGGGTACAAAATAGCATACGCTCGGTAAAAAAATATTGTCCCATATATATGTATATATAATGTTCCAATTAAGAGATAAACAAACCTGATAGCTGGAGAAGATAACTGGTTGCAGCCGCTTTATATCAAAAGTTGGGATTACAACGTTAGTCAAGGTGTGGCGCAAGTGCTTGTCTCCCAACTTTTCCTTTAATAGGGAATGTAAATACTTCCCATCATATTTTGGTTTTCCCAAAACTTTCAAGTTGGCAACAATAGAACTGTTGTTAAAGGGACAATAGCTAGGTTATTTTTCAGTAATAGTCACCATATACCATTATTGAACAAATTTAACGGCTAATAATATATCTGATAATACCTGTCCTGAGGGAAAATTTTAGGGCAGTTTTCAAGATAAAAAGCGGTAATATCTTTAGCAGCATACAAGGGACGCTTATTTTCATCTGGGGTGGTAAGCATGGCAGTCACAAGGCCACCTGTGCTCGTCCCTGTAATCACATCAAAATAATCTGCGAGCCTTGCATCCTTACCATCCAGTTTCTGCATATAGCCGCCATGACTTGGTGTTATTATATAAATAGAAAACTTCATTTTAATCCCTAAAAAAGATGAGTTTTAGATTATAACCATGTGTAAGATTAAAATCCAATTTTAGTCCCTAGCACATTTAATCATATCATTTATTAGTTGTATTTTGATGTTTTATTTTATCTTTTTATTTTTATTTTAATGTATTAATTACATTTAAATTTAATTTTTATTTCATTCATCATAATATATTTTAATGTCTACATTTAGGTAACTAAATTTTTTATAATATATATTCCAATAACAATTTTGTATGTTCTTCATTTAGGTACATTAATACATTTGAATATTTTGGTATATCTATCGGTACAAACATGTAGTTACATTGATTCAATATAATGCATTTCGTTACGTACACTTTGATACATACATTTGAGTATTGACTTTTAGGTACATTAATTCAATTATTATTTCGGTAAATACATTTAGGTACATACATTTTGGTATTGATATTTAGGTACATACATTTTCGGTATTGACATTTAGGTTCTCACATTTTGGTACATTTATTTCGGTATTGACATTTAGGTACATTAATTCAATATAATACATTTCAGTACATACATTTAGGTTCATTATAATCTATTTCGGTACAATCATATAGGTACAAATATTTTGGTACAAAAAAGTCAATTTTATATATTTTGGCACAATCATTTCTGTACACTTATGTATCTATATATTTTTGTATCACAATTTTTTTTTAATATTTTCTCATTTACGTTCATTTCTAATTAAAAAAAATTAAATATGTGCATATTAATAAAATTAAAATTTAATATGGAGAGATTAAATAAAAATACACATTAAATAAGAAAAATTGAATGTAAATTTTGATAAAAGTACACTCGAGGGATTAAATTGAATATTTAATCTAGCATCAGGTTTTTTTTAAATTTTAATCGTTTGCAAGGACTAATGTTCAAAAACCCCTTATATAAATCTACCAGAATTAAAACACATGTATAATTCTTGATACTATGTACACTCCGAAGTTATAAAGTCGCCGCACATCACATGTTATGATTTGGGTGAATCGTATCAGAAACACCATAACATGGTGTTAGGATCATAAACAAAACTTCCTCTAGCAATAACACAATTTTTTTTTCAATTAACACTTTGAGAGGCTATATTAAACTGGAAGCAGACATGCTAGCTAGATGTGATCGACATTAAATTGTGGGTTTGAATGAGGCTACAAAACCATTATTTTTAACCTACAACCTTAACTTAGAATTAAATAAGTTTTTTTGGTAAAAAAAAATAAATGAGTTTTGATATCACATCAATGCTTGCAAGAAATATCTCACATCAGAAGTATATATACCAAAACTTGCAAAGGCTGATATGGAGTTAGAGCCACTTCCATATTATCAATTAATTTATAGAACCTCAACTTTCTTCGTTGATCAAAACCAGTTTACCCACAAGTAAATCTCAATGGCCACATCTACATGTTAGACTAAAAAATTATCCATATGTGAGGAGACATGTGAGGATGTGAACAAATGGATTGGCTACAATACTTATATGTATTTCATACTATATCACCATCTGACAGTCAGATATAATTCATGTGAATATATGTATTTAATACAACCATTATCTGACCATTGAGATGGTGATTGTATTAAATAAATGTAAGTATTGTAATCAAATCCGTGAATAAATGTCTCAATTCGGAAGTTTGTCAAACCTTGCAAGAGCTTATAAAGAGTTGAGCGACCCCATTCTTACCGAAGGGTGGAACCTCAGTTTTATGAACAAACATCTAGATATTAAGATAATTAGCTTAACAGTCATATGTGAAATTCTCATGCATTGATCATTTTACCTGAAGCTCAGACTCCAGAAAACTGAGTATAGTTCCAGGAATAATCCCTCTTATTCCACCTCCATCAATGCTAAGAACAGTGATGAGGCTTCCATTAGTGGTAGAGTGAAGGGATGACTTTGCCATAAATGGTGTTGGAAGATATCAAGGTGATGCACAAGACTTAATACTTAGGAAGTAAAACTGAGATAGTAAGTAGAGGTTTTAAGAATCTGAGAGGAAGGCTGTTGATCAGGAGGAATGCAGGTATATTATGAACCTGGAGTTGTAGGGCTTTATATAGAGAAATTTTCCAGTCCAATTTTGACGCCAAACTTGTGGCGTACAGCCTATATTGTTTGCCACGTACGAAGTACTGATCATCACAAGTCAACAGTAATATTCAACTAGCGAGAAGGTAATAAACTATTGCATCCGTACATGCACAAGACTATTAAAACCAACAATTGAAGCATTAATCGACTTTAAAAAAATTCGACTAAAAAAAAAAACAATTGAAGCATTAAGTCTATTGTGCATGCATGCATGTTTCTTATATTTCCTTATGTTGGTCAACGGTCAAACTAGAGTCATAAATAAAAAGAGCCAGAAAATAGTAAAGACAACGGAAACTTCATTTGTAAAGTGACTCATTTGTAGCCATGCATCCTAAATTCCTAATCGTAAGTTTTCTCTCTAAAAGATTGTTACTTGTCAGGCATATTGTGCCTGCATATTTTTTATGTTTCTTTTTTATTTTTCTTTTTTTCCTGACATAACAACATTGATATTAACTTTACCTCTTGTAAACATTCAGTTTAGTATCAGCTATATATATATATATATATATATATATATATATATATATATATTTATTTATTTATTAGCTAGTGTGGAAAGAATATATATATTCTTTTTTTCCTGACATAACAACATTGATATTAACTTTACCTCTTGTAAACATTCAGTTTAGTATCAGCTATATATATATATAGCTAGTGTGGAAAGAATATATATATATATATATATATCTATATATATATATCTATATGTATATATATTCTTTTTTTCCTGACATAACAACATTGATATTAACTTTACCTCTTGTAAACATTCAGTTTAGTATCGGCTATATATATATACTAGCCTCTCCGCACGCACTAACGTGCGTGCAAGAGACATTTTTGCATCACGGACGCTACGTACCCCTAAAGATGTGTTGTGTTAGGTTTTTTTCATTATAATTGTCAAGATATACTTTAAATGTATTGTGCAAAGAGGAATTTTTTTTTTTTACCATGCAAGTTCTAAAAGTTATCACGTTTTTCATTTTTACGTTGCGTAAAGTAATGATTTAAATGTTATTCATGCACAGCAAAAGACATTTTTTCATCATGGGGGCTAGTGCCTCTAAGAATGTATTGCTTTAGTTGTTTTCTTATTTGCCCATCCAAAATTTTAAACTTTGAAATACTAACACTCATTTTTCCAATGAATTTGTGAGAGGCCAACACCCATGTTTCCTACTACCTTTTTAATAGATACCTTCAAGTGTGTTTTTTTTCCTTCTTCTTTTGATTAGAAGTAGTAAGCACAACCCTGGAATAGTATTTCTCCAAGTTGAATGAAAAGTTTAGAGAAAACTTTGAAATACTAACACTCATTTTTCCAATGAATTTGCATTCTGTTGAAAAAAACACATGTGCTATGCTTTTTTTTAACCATTTAGAGATCGAATAAAATTGTTGAAGATAAGTATGATCACAGAATAAAATTGTTTAGAGAAAACTTTGAAATACTAACACTCATTCGGGCGTTTTCTAATAACCTACACAGAAGATAAGTATGATCACAGTCAGCTACCACAAAAAATAGTTGAATTCCACCTTGATCAAAAAGACTTAAATCATTCAAATGTTATTGAGTTTAAAATTGACAAATAAATAAGATAAAATGACCTAACTATCCAGTCTCTATTCTTTTCTTGATCCTCCCAAATTTGTATTTCAATGGGATAAATGTAGAGGTCAAAATTATGTCTTTGAACTGAGATTGTTTAATCCTCCAAACCTAAAAAGAGAGAAGCACATAAATAGAATGAAGCGAAACATAATCTTTCAAATCAATCTCGTACATCACAAATGCCACTACAGAGTGGAACATGATCTTTATATGTACAACTCCACAACACCACCTTATACATTATGTTGGCTTTTTTTGGATCAATAATGTGAAAATTTTGATCTTTATACATGTAAAATTTACTATCAATAATTAATCCTGTAATATGCACCATCTTAACCTAACTATTAGTCATATAGAGCATTTGGTATTCATTTGTAAGCCGTCATTAAGATAATAATTTCTGCGCAAATCAAATAACAAATTTGATATTTATGTTGAACATTTGTGAGCCTTCAAATAACAAATTATATTTCCGCTCCTCCTTACAATGATAGCAAGACAAATTCACATATAAATACACTACTTTACATTGTTATCAAATTAACTTTTACAAATAGATCAGTATATAAAATGGACATAAATTTAAGAAAGTGACTAAAATTTTCAGTATTTTCTTGGGAACACTTGCATCCAATCATAGACTGAAAAATAATCTATTCAGAAAAATAAAAGAGAAATGAAAAAATTACTTAGAAATTCCTTGCCGTCTTCTTCTTATTCAAATTTTCATCTCTTTGTCCAAACAGAGGCTCTGAAAATAAAAGTAAAACTGTAAAAGTCACAAAAATCAATCCAAGAGAGTCAATCGGAAACCGCAAATATCGCAAAGCAATCCAAAACCAAAACAAAATTAAAATAAAACTGCGGTAGAAACCCACCCCTTAGAATATTGCGATGCCGAGGCCTGATGCTTCATCTCTGAAATGCCTTTTTTTTTTTTTTTACTTATATACTTTTAATCTCTTGGAAGTCCATAACATGGCAGTCTTGGAATTCCATCATCAAAAAACTCAAACCTTTTCTATAATTTTGACACATGTACGAAAAATTGTTCAAAAGAATTAAAGGGTGATTTGAGTACAGATAGCCTAAGTTAAAGAGTATGTGAATACAATACTTTTACATTTTATTCACTTGGTGGTGCAGTCTTAATACATATAGCCTAAGTTTTTAGAAATTTAAATTAGCTCATGCAAACACATCATTAAAGTCTTCTAAATAATTTGACCATTTGTGTGACCACTCTTCTCGACCCATGTTGATCCCATCTCTAATTCATGAATTCCTTCTTTGTGAGAAATATCTACACGGGCCAATCCACCCATGTATATGCATTGCATCAAGAAGAGAACATGTACTCATATGTTGACATTTTATGTAAAGAGTGTGATTATTCGTGTCTCCTAACAGTCAATATTCATTTAGGTTTGTAACGGAACTCTATATCGATCAATTCTAAATTTCTCACCATAGTTTCCATTTTCATGGATTAGAAACTGAGAATCTTGTTATTTCCAAACTGAATAAAATTTTATCACCGGCGCTATATGCACCCCTAAACATTACTTTACATATGTTTCATGAATGAGTAAACAATAATGGTATTAACGTTAAACTAGGACTTGGTGAAAACACTTTTACTAATCAAGCGCGGGACATATTTATCCTTATTTTGAGATAAGGATGATCATGCAAACAATGAATTACATTGAATGTTCACCATTAATATAAGGAAACTCAAACACACCCATAATGCAAGCAAAACTTGTACGCAAAGGAATACAGAAGTTTATCTAATACAGTATCATGTATATTTTCCACAAAAAAATGTATTCGACTTTCAAAATCACATCCATATAATATATTTCAATATTAATTCAGCAACTTTTAAATGTAAAGATAGGAGAATGCTTACCAAATCGTTCTTGAAGGTTAGCGATTTTAGGGGTTTGTGGGTTTTCAGATGTAAAAGAGGGAGTGCATGTTCCTCATCCAGCAAGATTCTCAGTCTCTCATTAAAATGTTCATAAACCCAGTTGAAAATAAGCACATTCACCTGCAAAATGTCTCCTTTGTAATTGAACCGATATATTGATGCAGTCATTAATTCAAGAGTCATCCACAAATGCTTCTCTCCAGCATTTGAACTCGCTCCAACTGGAACTGATCTCAGAAAATATAAAATTCAAGGAATCAAGAACTAAAGATGAAAGAAAATACAAATCGAATTTGATAAACTGTGAGACCTGTAAATGCCGATTGATTTGTAAAGAGAAAGAAGGAACAGTAGAGAGAGAAGTATATCTTTTGTATATTGAATGAATATTTGTTAACACCACCTTTACAGTTATATGTTGTATATATCCCATTACATTGCTTAGGTACTAAGCTATTACAAGACTCACAAGATCTTGACACTTGTCATAATCTCTACTCACAGAATGTAAACAAACTTAACCACCTCATACACCTATAATATCTATCATCCTCCCTCAATCTCAGGGTGAGACTTGCCAAGTCTGAGATTGTAACAGTGGGTGTTAAACAAGGGAGTAGACAATCCTTTTGTTAGAACATCAGCAAACTGTTCATTCGAAGAAACAAAATGCACTTGCAGAAGCTGTATAGCAACCCTCTCACGTACAAATGGACATCAATCTCAATATGTTTCGTCCGCTGATGCATCACTGGATTATAGGCAAGGGCTATGGCAAACATATTATCACATAACAATGTGGTAGGACATGGAACTGCAATCTGCATAAATTGAAGAAGCTGTGTAATCCAATCAATTTCAGCAGAAGTACTGGAGAGAGCTCTATGTTCGGCCTCTGTAGAGGACCGAGACACTGTATGTTGTTTCTTCGAGGACCAAGAAATAGGATTAGGTCTTAAATACACGACAAAACCAGTGGTGGACCGTCTGTCGTTGGGATCTCCAACCCAGTCAGCGTCACTGAATGCATGTAGATCTAATTCCCCTTGTGTGAGTTGAATGCCAAGATCTGAAGTACCTTTCAAATATCGAAGAATACGTTTCACAACAGCATAATGAGAATCCATAGGACAGTGCATGAATTGGCACACCTGATGTACTGAGAATGCTATATCAGGACGAGTGAAGGTAAGGTACTGAAGAGCCCCGACAATACTCCAGTATAAAGAATGATTATTGAAAGGGTGACCATCATCCTTGAGTAACCGATTATATGGTAAACAAGGGGTAGAGCAAGGTTTTGAATGAGCCATATCTGCCTTGACCAACAAGTCTGAAACATATTTA